AATTGGCGCACCTAAAATGCCCCCTTTTCTGAGAAACCCCAGGATTTAATTAGTTTGCTTGAAACTATTCTCTTTACTCACCAGCCCACTTGGGATGATTGCAGTCAGCTTTTGCAGGTCCTTTTTACCACTGAAGAGAGAGACCATATCCAAAAGGCAGCCCAGAAACATATCCCTGGCCCCACAGAAGCGCCCATCACAGATCCTGCCCTGATCACTGCCTATTTTCCCAAGGCCCGACCAACATGGTACTACAATATGGCTGAAGGTAGAGAGTGACTCCTTGTCTATTACCAGGCTCTGCTGGCAGGTCTCAAGGTGGCGGCTCGCCGACCTACTAATATGGCCAGTTTATGATGTTAGACAGGGAGGAAGTGAAAATCTGGCAGCATCTCTTGAGTAGCTCATGGAAGCTTTTAGTCAATATACTCTGTATGATCTTGAGATCCAGGAGTCAGCTCAGATGATTATGTTTGCCTATATAAATCAAGCTGCACCAGACATAAAGCAAAAGTTGCAGGCTCTAGACAGACTTGGTGAAAAGTCTATTCGGGATCTAGTAGCTACGGTGGAAAAGGTTTAGAAAAGATAGAGACAGAGGAACAAAGTCAGGAAAGGAAGGACAGAGAACATGAAATTGAATGTGAAAAGAGAGACTGGGCCAAGGATCCACATGCTCTAGAGGGGGTGCTAAAACAATTGCCCAACCAGTGGATGAGCAATGCCTACATGGTCCATTACCAGACCTTGTTTATTAACCCCGTGAGGATCAGCTTTTGTATACCTATAGCATTAAACCCAGCTACTCTGCTGCTGGATCCGGATCTGGAAGTGCCCCTGATGACTGTGAACAGATCCTGGCCCAAGTATATAGTCTCAGGCCAGACTTGTTGGACTTGCCACTATCACATGCAGAGCATACCTTGTTCACAGATGGCAGCACTTTCATTCAAGATGGAAAAAGGTACGCAGGCGCAGCAGGCTCCATGAACACTGAGATAGTGTGGGCAGAAGCACTCCCCCAGGAAACATCTGCACAAAGAGCAGAACTAGTGGCACTAACAAAAGCCCTACAGATGGGAAAAGGGAAGAGACTAAACATTTACATGGACCGTCGGTATGCTTTTGCCACCGTGCATGTCCATGGAGCCATTTACCAAGAGAGGGGGCTGCTGACAGCTGAGGGAAAGGCTATTAAAAACAAACAAGAAATTTTTAAGCCTCATCCGGGCCTTATGGGAACCAGCAAATATTTCCATTATGCACTGCCCTGGCCATCAAAAGGTAACCAAAGAAAACAACTTGGCCAATCAGGCAGCTAAGGAGGCGGCCCTCCAGCCCAGAGCAGAAGTACTGACTCTAGTAGACCCAGGGCCAC